GTTAAATGTTGGTGGTCATATAGGATCCGCACATCATATGTCATACCCAGTGTACGGCCCCGGTTGAGATTTGTTGCGGCAAAACATTTATTATTCTCTGGAGTGGCGTCTGGTTGAGACCGGTGCGCTATACGAGTACTACCGGAGGCTGGTGGCCCGAACATTCTGGTAACGCTGGTAAACCAAGGATATATCAACGGGGTGGGGGCGGTTTTGTCGGAAAATCTGGGAGCGTGGATCGGTCTGCAGCGCAGTGTCTTGGTTACTGCAGTACGGTCACTCGAGAAACTTGCTTCTAAAATGTCTAACTTGGGGCCTGCTTGGCTCGCGGTGATTTGAAATAGCCGTAATTTGGAATCGTGATTTACAAATTGCGTTTCTGTTAAACGCTATTGAAAAATTTTTCAAGTTTTCCAAATCATGATTTGGAAATATTACCAAGCCAAACACTCTGCTATCTCAAATCATGACTATCTCAAACCACAGAGAGCCAAACACGCCCTGGGGTCTTTTTCGTTGTCAATGTCAATTTTTTGACTGTTTCTTTGGATGCGCGGTCGTCATATGTCCGGGTTCTTGGTCCCTCATCAGGAGTATGATATTCTTGTAGGGGTATAACAGTGGATTCCAACGAGTGATCGTCCGTGAAAAATAATTTGCTGTGGTGCACTTTGCTGAATGCACGGTGGAGTACTGCACTAAAGTGGCTTGGTTAAGCCGTTGCCGACTCTTTCCCTCTATACACAAGGGCGACTTTCCAAATTGCGTTGTCTGGGACTTGTTTTACCCCCCTTTCCTTTTCCTCTTTTTTTTTTTCTTTTTTCTTTCCTTTTCTTTCGTGCGCATGAGTATGGGTGTACTCGCAATTTTCTGACGTTTGTAAAAAACAACCGGGTCCGCATATGCCCACATATGCAGCCAAGAAATGATGCATGAGTCCTGCATGCACAGGCAGATAAGTACTCTTTTATGAAGACCAAATCCTGGTTTTTGAAGAGTTCATGTGGTAGGAGTACAGTTAGAGGGGTGAAAGGGGGCAGTGAGCTGGAGAGATATTTTGGAAATTGTAGAACGGTCACTTGGTAGTAAGTCAGGAGTTAATTACAATACTATATATATAAAATAAAGGAATGAAAGAGAAGAAAACTAATGATTAAAGAAATTGCCCCCCCCCCATCAGTGATGCAGTCTTCTATACGATTCTGCATGGACATGATATGCTGATTTATCTACTCAATGGGATACTGGAGCCATTCGTCCTCCACCATAATCCAGATTCTGGCTACTGTAAGCCAGATTCCCAAACACTCATGAATTCAATCCTTCAGCTCACACCAGATCATTTCTATCAAATTCAGATCTAGGGAGTTGGCCAGTAACTTCAGCTTCTAAAAGCCAAGCTAATACCATGGCTGGTTATGATAATGGTGGATATGTGTAGGCACATTATCTACCATTATCACCACACTAGGATGAGCAGCTTGGACTGAGGTGACAAAAGGATAGAGAAGGCAGGTTAAGATCTGTTTTCAATAGATAAACCAATCTATACTTCCCCTTCTATCTTTTCCTCACTCCTTCAGTAGTGGGAGTGGGAGTAGGTTGAGAATCTCCAAGTTTAGGAGGTTATAGCTGTTAAATTGAGCTTTCTCCTCCTCCTACTCCTCATGAAGCTTGACAAGAGCTTTGCTCTTCTGATTTTTTGACTTATATGGAGTCACATAGAGATGGTACAGGAGCCCTGCCCCTGTATTTTTATGTAAATTAGTATTTGTATAATAGTTTAGATAAACAGAATGAGTTACCTGTCTTGCAATAGAGTATGGTATCCTAGAACATTACTATAGCCTCCTGTGCAAACCTTTAGTTAAGATTTTGAGGAAGGTATGCTTCACTAGGCCTCCGCAATACTCCACGAGCCTGTTGTCTTCTTAGTGCACCAGTTTCGAAGTAAGATTAATCTGTAAAGATGATTTCCTTCCAGTTCTGATTTTGGTCTTATAGGTAAAATACTAAGTGGGCTGCTTTTTGCTTAAGTGAAATTGCTGGCTTCTCGGTAGACTTCCACCAGTGTATCACGAACGTGGCTTGGCACGGAAAAGGTTTTCACATGACTCATGATTATGAGTCATAGGTATGTTATTGTTTCATGCATATGACTCATTTGGGTCATATGACTTATTATGTTATAATTTGTTATGTTTCGCACATGACTCGATTATGAGTCATGAGACATGCGCCTGGCAAGTATGCCTTGCGAGTGTGCCTTGCGGGTATGCCTTGTGCATATGATTTATGTTTTATACATGACCTCGTTACGAGGTCATGGGTTTCACGCATATGACTCAGTCGAGTCATATGACTTGTTTATTGCGTTATGATTAGTTTATGAGTTATGGCACATGACCTTGCTATGAGGTTATGGGTTTTGAGTATGTGACCACTTTGGTCACATGACTAGTTTATTATGATTTGATTTCGCACATGTGACCACTTTGGGTCACATGACTACGGGTGGGAAGAATACTATATAAGGAGACCGAAGCGGCCTAGGAGGATAGCTTCTTCACACTTTGTTCCAAGTACCTTTCCTCGTCCTTGCTGTCGCTTCGCCCTGAGCATTTTTTTCGCACCCATGATGGGCCTTGATGCCTTGGATTCTGGGGGAGATATCTGAGTTCGCTCAGTAGTTCCTGGGGTTCTTGGTGTTGAGTTCTGTTGGCGTTGTGTGGCGGATAGCTTGTTTGCTTCTCGTTTCATTGCCTGATGGCTTCTCACGATGCTGTCACTTGGAGCACTTCATCACAGTTGCTTACGAGCCTCTTTCGGTAAAATGTCTTCGGCTTCCTGTCCATCGTCTACTCGCAGGTTTTGTGTTCGATTGGGGGGGATACAACATGGTATTTGAGGAGATCACCCATGTTGGTCTTTGGACCAGTTCATGATGTTGAGTTTTAACGGAGTCCTTAGTTCTCACGATACAAAAATGCCCTTGAGTTAGACTGATAACTCACGCTTTTCATTTCTACG